CCAATATAGCAGCATCTTTCCTGGCTCATTGAGTCCCACATTTTCCAACTACATTTGTACATTTCTGTGACTTCATGACCACTTTATGCCTCAAAATCCTAAATTCAGTCCAAAATCATTATAAACCAAGGAAGATCCATGACCGCACCCTCAACAAACACCATGGTGGCCTGGTGGACCACCAGATGATATCTGACCCACAGCTGGACCCATCTCTGATGATGACAGCAGACTCCTAGCTGGACCCATCCCTGATGGTGACATCAGACCCACAGATGGACACATCCCTGATAATGACATCAGACCTGCAGCTGGACCCCTCTCTGATGATAACATCAGATCCGCAGCTAGACTGAACCCTGATGATGACATCAGACCCACAGCTGGAATCATCTGTGATGGTGACCTTGATCCACCCATTGGACTCATCCAGGTGGAAGTTTCCTCCATCTTGAGTCCTCTGCATATCTTCTGTCCAATACTCCCTTCACTCTCTAAACCCCCTCCTGCTCGTCCTATCCCTTCTTTCCCAATCCAACCCCAACTATCACAAGCTACTCTCCCCTCTCCTTCCATCCTTGTATTTCCTATTCCTTCCCCAGTTCTCCGCACTTCTAGCTCCACGCTCTGATATACCACTAAAACTCAATGTTGCAGTACAAAACAATTTTTATGTAACCTTTACTGAGTGAACAGCCATGTTTTAAAGCATATGAATTTCTGGGAATGCCATAAGGCACCCTCTCAACTGTTTGACCATGTCTTAGCTTATCTAACTGATCTTAAACCTTCACAATAATACAACACACTGCCTATCCATCTATCTGGTGGGCCATATCTCTGAGCCTAAACCTTGGTTGTTCTCCAAGTATTTCCTATAAAATACTAACTCAGACTATCCGGTATAGCCCCATATTATGTCCTGATCAAAATGCTTACTGGCAACATGTTAGCTCTTTGTTGCCCATGCCAAATGCTAAGTCTAAGATTTTAGCCCGTGAGGGTTATTCTTTTATTCCCCCAGTATCCGTCCCTCCTGCACTAATTTATTCCTCTAATTCAGGCTTCTTCTCACAATTTGACTTGCACTATCTGCATTTTGGGCTCCTGCCCCTAAACAAAGCTCAGCAACTTTATTCTCACCACCAAGTGTGTTATATTTCTGCCAATCGCCTTTATTCTGCTGACCACATTGGGGGTCAACTGGCGCTGCCTTGCAGGCCACAACATTACACAACAAAATAAAATAATTGATGCCAATCAGGAAATGTCCAAAAAATTATCCAAATATGTGACTCAAACTACCACAGCCCTCGAAGCCCTAGATGAGAGGCAGAGCACTCCGACAACTGTGGTTGCTGATAATCACCAGCCTTAGGTTATCTGTTGACCAATCAAAGGGATATTTGTTCCCTTAAGAGTGCTACATGTAGATAAACAACACAGGCAGAGTCGCTCAGATAGCATAGCACATGGTCAGTTTCTCCAGGAGAAGCTTTTCCCCATCCCTTTCTCTTAATTATAACAAAGTCCCAAATCCATTCCCTCTGCTTTTCACAAGCCAACATGGGCCTGTTTGCACCATCCAGCTCTCTCCAGGAAGGCTTCCTGTGAGAAATAAACTTTCTCTTAAATTCTCTTCCTGTGTAAAGTGTCATCAACTTCTGACATCTGAACAAAATCATGTGCCTTCTGTTGATATACACTATAGTATGCCTACCAAAGATCTATGGCCTGAATATTCGATATGCACATACACACAAAAACACGCACACATGCACACACACACACGTCCACAAATGTAATGAGGGAAACACAGTAAAACGTTAGCCTTTGTGGAGGGTAGGTGAAGGGCATACAGGAATTCATTCTATCATCTGTACAACTTTTTTCTAAGTCTGAAATCATTCAAAAATTGAAGTTTTGAAAAAATTCTGAATCCCAGATGGAAGCATGCCCAAGAAAAGTTTGAACTTGGAACCATGCCCAAGAAGAAAGGGTTCCAAGACATCCCTGGCATTAGGGACGCTGATCCCTTGACTTCAGTCCCTCTGGCTCCTGGAGCCACAGATCCCCAAACGGCAGTGAGAAATTGGCCAATTAATCCACCATGGCTCCTCCTTTATTATGAAGAGAAGCTGAGGATTTGAGTAACAGTCTGGAAGAGGTGTCTGAACTCATCAATAATGAGCACAGGTCAGAAGGAGCTAGAAATCTGCACTTGACGACGGATCCACCTGTGTGCTTCTGGGTTTGTGTGCCTTTGTGTTCATGGGTGTGTGTCTGCATGTATTGTGTATGGTTGTGCTCGTGTTGTTTGATAGTTGCATGAGTGTGTGTGTGTACTAGGTATCTGACTCACAGCCTGACTCATTTCCTGAGTTAGACCCAACCTGGGCTCTGTTTTAGTGTCTGTAGACCAAGTTATCAGCCTCCTAGTGTGTGATTGGGAACCCCTGATTCGTGCCTTCAATCTTAAATATCTGACTCCTGTTGTTATGATAGGGGCATTTCTCCCACTGGGTGGGCATTACAGCTGAGCAGATGAGAGGTAAGCATCAGGAGTGAGATTGTTGTCTCTGCTGCTGGAGAAAAAGATGCCCAGCCTTATTAAGGAACCCAGGTCAGAGGGTGTTCAAACCTTTACCCAGCTGTGTGCTAGTGTATGTGTGAGCTATGTGTGTGGTGACTCACTCATGTATGAGAGCAAGAAAGTATATTGTTTGCTTTTGTATGTTATATTGTGTATGTTACCACTTGCATGGGTTGTTAGTGGTTTAATGACTGTGACTATGTGAAAAGGCTTAACTGCCCCATGCTGATTACCTTCCCCCGGGAGGGGTGTGGGTCAGAAAGGGGTGAAGCACATCTCTCAGTAATGGGAGTGTGTGCACTTCTTGGTGTAGTGAATGTGTGGCTGGGTGTGCATGTGTGTTGTTGGTGTATGTTTCTTGCAAGATTTTTGAATTGTGTATGTGGTCTTGGGTGTTATTGGTGATATAAATAGTAATGAGTTGTGTATATGTGGTATGTGAGTTGTGTGTTTTGCCAGGTGTGTCATGCCTGTGTGTCAGTGGTGCATTGTGAGTGTATTTGTGGGTGATACCTTATTGTGTATTGTGTATGTCTTACCTTGCATGTTATTTATGACTTGTATGTATGTATATGAGTGTTTATGAACTGAACCACATAGTGGCCATCCTTCCTTTAAGATGGGAACTGGTCACAGGTGACTGGAATGCTCAAATCAGCAAAGTTTGTGTGTGTGTGTTTGTGTATGTGTGTGTGATATTTGTATGTGTGTTTGGAGGATTGTGATTTGCACCTATGACCTCAAATATTTCCTTAAGTGACCTCCTTCTGGAGTAACAATGAGATAACCAACGCCCCAAGTGACTGTTTCCTGAAAGGGTCTGCTCTCATTTTCATACATGTGAGCGTGATTGAGTCACTCAGAGTTTTGTAACTTTTCACTTTCATCTAACATCTCAGGCAAAGAAACGTTAGACATCATGCTGTATGAAGTCAGAGTGCAGAACCCTCAGCAAATGGCAGAAAGAACTTGGGAAAGTTATGTAGCTCTTTGGCCTTGGTTTTCATATCTCTAATGAAAGCTTATAGATCCTCAATAAATGTTTATGGCATGAACAGAAGTTAATGTATGTGAGAGCCTTCTGTCAATTGGAAAATAGACAAATATGAATGAAAGAAATTATCTGGGCAGGGCACTAAGAAAATTTTGGACAACTGAAGTTTCCTGGCAGCTCTAAAGTAATGCAAAATGTCTAGTGCTCATAACTAATGAAACAAGAGAGCTCCAGTTAAAAGCGTGGGTTCTGATTACACAATAATATTAGATTGAACTACATGAAGCACTCAATGTTTGATCATTTTTAACCTACAGAAAATGGCAATTATATATATGTATTGTCCTATGTAATATTCCATATATATTTGTGTGTTTATATATATATAGGACTATATTGATATATACAGGAATATTTATACACAATATATATCTTTATATATATTCCATCTATATGTATATACGTATGCATATATCCACATCATAAATGTGTGTATATAAATATACATATATATACATATATTCCCTTATATGTATATGGATATGTATGCATTTCCATCTCTGACAGCTACTGTTGTATGCCTATGGAATTTATAACATTTATGTTTCTATTTTCAGACAGCTTCAATGGGAAGACAACACTACTTCTTAGCACAGCAATGAAGATTTTTATCTTGTTCATGGATTTAATTAGGAAATGCATGTAAATCCCTTAGCATAGTACCCAGCACAGAATATAAGCCCCACAACGTACCCCACTATTTTGAAAGACAGTTCGTGGACTATTCTGCTTTGGGAGCTATTCTGGCATCAAGCAGCTTTAGATGACCTCCCACTTCTAGAGTGACCATGAGTTTAAAGCTGTAGGTCAAAGAGAGCTGGCCAGGTTCACAGGAGGAGTGTGACAACACTCCAACAACACCGCCTCAGCACTGGAGTCTCATGTTACTTTAAGGCGGAAACAACTGGTACTGGTTTGCAGAGGCTCATCTACTATTTCTGCCATAGTGAACTATTATAGGCAGCTCTGTCTCAGAGTCACAAATTATCCCAGTCTTCTCATTAAAAATATACTCATAGAAGAGAATGATCTTGCTTTTCTTGTCCACTGCTCCATTCTCAGTCCTTAGCAGAGGGCTGTTTTCAGGCTCAATGTTCAATAAATAATGGTTGAATAAAACAGTTAACACCCTCTTGCTTCTGTGCAATGAGGTCTTGGCTGATTTTGGGCGTGATGTTTTCCTGGAGCCAGACTGCAATAGAGGGAATATGCGTGCATCCACAGCTGTGAGAAATTAATAGGAATATGGTTAAAAATTCATTGTTTTCTCAGAAATTACATTATGGAATGTTTCCCTATCATCTTTTCCAATATTTGTAACTCTTCTCTATCCCCAGTATCTAAAAGCACAATATGAGGCCTGAGAACCAGAGCAGAGTGTCTGAGTTCCTCCTCCTGGGGCTCCGCATCCCACCAGAGCAGCAGGGCCTGTTCTTTGCCTTATTTCTATGCATGTACCTGACCACAGTGCTGGGGAACCTGCTTATCATCCTGCTCATCAGGCTGGACTCTTGCCTCCACACTCCCATGTACTTCTTCCTCAGCCATCTAGCCTTCTCTGACATTTCCTTTTCATCTATCACTGTCCCTAAGATGCTGATAAACATGCAGATTCAATGTCAATCTATCACATATGCAGAGTGCATTTTACAGGTCTATTTCTTTATATTCTTTGGTTGCCTTGACAGCTTTCTTCTTGCAGTGATGGCATATGACAGATATGTGGCCATCTGTCACCCTCTCCACTACACCACCATCATGAGGAATGAGCTCTGTATCATCCTAGTGGCTGGATGCTGGGTCTCCTCTTGTGCTCAAGCCCTGTTGCACACCCTCTTCGTTGACCAGTTATCCTTCTGTGCAGGGACTACCATCCCCCACTTCTTTTGTGATCTTGCTGTTGTGCTCAAGTCCTCCTGCTCAGACACCTCCCTCAATGAACTTCTCATCCTCACTGAAGGAGGATTGATCTTCATCCTGCCGTTGAGTGTTATCTTAGGCTCATATATCCGCATGGCACTCATCATCCTGAAGCTCCCCTCCTTAAAAAGAGTCTCTAAAGCTTTGTCTACATGTGGCTCCCACCTCTTTGTAGTGTTTTTATACTATGGGACAATTGCAGGTGTTTATTATTTCCCCTCATCAGGCAGCTCCAAAGATAAGGACATGATTGCTTCTTTGATGTACATGGTGGTCACACCCATGCTGAACCCATTCATCTACAGCCTGAGGAATAAGGATATGAAGCATGCTTTTCAGAAAATTTTCAGGACCGAGAACATCCCTTGGTGTCGTTAATTCAATTGCACTGTCAGGGGCACTGATGGGGGCAATAAAATACGTGTCCTTTAAAATAGTTGTAACTTAGACAACTCTTATCACTGACACCATTCTTCTCCCAGTTTCATTTTAAGTTTCCTCTCATCTTTTTCTTCACTTAATTCTTGTATTTTCCCCCACTTGCTCTCTGAATTCTGTGTATTAACGCTTCTGTATGTATTAAGTGAAATTCTAAACCCTTCCATAACACTGTGATGTTCACTGCAAGCCTGTGAGACTTTTGTGTATGTTTTAAGATATGGACCCAGATTAATTTTTCCCATATGGATATCCAATAGATACATAAGAATTTACTAAAAATTGCATTCTTTCCCCACTGAAGTACTGTCTTTTTCATAAATCAAATGACCTAATAAAAGTTATCTTGACTATATTTTCCCTTTGCATTTCCATTCAAATTATAGATTCTGCCTGACACAAACAAAACAAAACTGTTGTTATGGTGCTTGGGTTGTCATTGAACATATAAAACAGCTTGGTAACAACTGTCATCCTTAAATTAAAAAGCTGTAGCATGCATCAGTACTGCATTCCTTTTCATTGCCAAATAGTATTTCCTTATATGGATTGACTACATTTTATTTATCCATTCCTCAGTTGATAGACATTGGATTGCTTCTAATTTTTTTGGCTATTATGAATAATCCTGCTAGGAACATTTGTGTGCAAGTTTTTCATTTCTATTTGATATATATCTAAGATTGAACTTCGTGGGGTTATATGTAACTCTATATTTAACCTTTTGAGGAACTACCAATCTGTTTTCCAAATTAGCCACACAATTTTACATTTTAACCATGTATGTATAAGGGTTCCAACTTCTCCACATCCTCACCAACACTTGTTATTGTCCTTCTTTTTGATTTTTGTCATCGTAGAGGTATGAAGTGGTGTCTCATTGTGGTTTTGATTTTTAGTTCTCTAGTGACGAATGATGTTGAGCATCTTTTCATGTACTTATTGGCCATGTGTATATCTTCTTCAGAGATAATAAAGTAGACAAAACAACCCTAAATGTGTATGAACCTAAAAACTGAGCTCCAAAACACATGAAGCCAAAATTGACAACTAAAAGGCCATATAGACAAATACATGATTGGAGATTTTAACATCTCTCTCTTGGTAACTGACATGACAAGTAGATAATCAACATTGGTAACTGACATGACAAGTAGATAATCAACAGGGATATGAAGATTTTTACATCACTATTAACCAGCCTGACCTAATTGGCAATTATTGAACACTAAAAGCAACAAGGTCAAAACATACATTTCTTTCAGGCCCACATGGAACATTCACCACAATAGACCATGCACTTGACAACTGAAGGATATGCTTTTATTTTTTGCTCATGAAATATATAACAAGAATGACTACATGATGGTTTACACAATAGCCTGAATAAACTTCAAAGAATTGAAATAACACAAAGTATGATCTTTAAGAACAATGGAATTCAACAGAACAATAACAAAAATAAACAGTAAATCACCAATTATTTGGAAATAAAGACAGACATTTCTAAATAGTCCAAATAACAAATATCAATGAAATTAGAAAATATTAAAAAACTGACAGTAATAAAAATATAACATACAAAATTTGTAAGATGCAACTAATAGAATGTTTGAGAGAAAATTTCTATCTTTAAATACATATGAAAGAAAAAAGTGAAAAATCAAAGGTATATGCTTCTGCATCAAGTAGGTAAGAAAATAAAAGGAATTTAAACCCACAGAAAATAGAAGGAAGAAAATAATAAAGACAAATGGGAAAACAATAAAATAAAATTAAGTATATCATAGAGAAAACACCAACTAAACCAAAATTGATCTTTTGAAAAGATTACTAAAATTAACAAACCGCTAGCAAGACGGATTGAGTTTAAAGGAGAGAACAAAAATCATACTTTCAGAAATGGCAAAGAGGATATCATCAAAAGTAATAGAAACATTAAAAGGACAGTAAGAGATTTTAAACTTACTAAAGATACAATATGCAAAAGTTAAAGCTACAATATGCAAAATAGTGCAATATTTGCATGAAGATAGACAATAAATTATTGAAACATAACAGAGTCCAGAAATAGACCTACATTTACCTGGTTAATTGAAAAAAAAATTTATATTGTAAAATCTAAGTTTTAAAGCTCCTAGAAGAAAATGTTGAAGAATATCTTCACAACTTTGAGTTAAATATATTTCATAAACAGCCCACATAAAATATTATCCAAAAAAGAAAAAAATGTGTAATTGGACTTCATCTAAATTAAAATCTTCTGTCTATCAAAAGACACTTTAAAAAAATCAAGTTCACAGACTAGAGAAAATATTCACTATATATAGCAGATGAAGGATTCATATCCAGAATACATGAATTAAAAATTCCTACATGTCATTATCAAAAGAGAATCAATCCAATAAAAATGGAAGATTCTTCATAAATGGAAGATATAAGAATGGCCAGTAAGTGCATGAAAATATGCTCAACATCCTTAAGGATCAGGAAAATGCAAAGTAAAACGATGACAAACAACTTCACACACCCTAGCATGACAAAAGTGTTAACGCTAAGATTTCTATTGTGAGAGAACGTTTTGTTTTCTGACTTATTTACCTGAGAAAGACAAAGTCCAAGGGGATAAGCAAACTTCACAAAGTCACAGAGAAGTTCATTTAGAGTTTGAGGACTGGGCTTGGGCAATGAACAAAGATTTTGCCCAAAATGAATACTTTAGAGACTGATAATCCCAGACGTCTCTGCAACTTCCAGCAGGGAGCTCTGGGGATTGTGCCAGAAACTGCATGTAGATAATCTCTTTTTTCCTGGATTCCTAATCAGTCTGGCTGACTCAACATCTGAGATGGCCTGTTCTCATTTCTCCTTCCTAAGAGCAGATGAGGGGTCCATATACCAGTGATCCCTTCTGTCTTAAATAGCAGGTAAGATGCTGTCTTTTCATCTGACCTTAAAATATGGCTTCTCTACTCTTTACAAGTGAGAAATGAGAGCAGAAGAGTCAAATTTCTATCTTAACATGAAGAAATGAGGAGCACCTCTTGACCCGACTCAAGACTGACCGTAAGTCATTGGCCACACTTACCTCTTCTCAGTCAGTCAAGAGAAGCAGAATTGTCCACTGAAAATAGGTTCAGGAATCCTGTTTTTGGTATCAGTTGTAGTGCTGAACTTGGACTGATTAGAGCAGCTCTTTGAGATTCTGTTTTCTCATTCATAAAATAAAGAGTTGTGTTAGATGGCTTAACATCCTTTCGTCCCTAAAGTGTAGAGTGGCTTGGTAGCTTTGATCCAGAGAACTATTTCTTCAGGTTACAAACCTAACCCCCTGAACCCTGAAATCACAGTTTCCTGAAATCTCCATATACTCCTGAGAGGGGTTTGACGTGTGGATGGAGCATATCAGGTCAGGTTGGATTTTTTTAAATATAGAAAAGCAAGAGATTTCGGGGATTATTTCTCAGCATTGAGAAGGGGCACAAAGGAACAGATTGAGACCCGTGAGCAGATCTGCTCATATTAAATCTGAATGGCAAGCATTAATTTCCCCTGCTTTCTGTTTAAATTAAAACAAAACAATATTTAGTTCAAATGTACAATATAAACAACCCATGCATTCAGTGTTTGTGAAAATATTCAGTTTATTAGACTTACGAATTCAACATCCACAATACTTCTTTTCATTTTCAGAAACAATTTTGAACACATTCTCGGTACTAAAATGCATCATAGGCAGCTTAAGATATTCACGTAAGGGTCATCGTTTTATTAACTATCTCTATAAGTAAAGGCAATGCTAGTGGCTAAATAATAATACCATACAGTTTCATCATAGCTTTAAAAATCATTTTATTGCCTATTTGTCCACTATTTTATTCAATAGATGATTACCAAGTATATACTAAGAAAAAACAAGATGAAAAATGAGTCCCTAGCATTGAGGGACACAGAGTCTAATAGGGATAAGCAATTAATCATAAGGCAATATGTCAAGTGTTCTACCAGAGACCCATATAAAAGGCTATGGGAGCACAGAGGATAAGGCAATGAACTCCCACAGGAGGATGTAAAATATTTTCAGCTATTGACACCTGAGCTCTTGATGGCTGGGGAGGAGGAGGAAAACATCCAGAAAGGTGGAATAGATAAGTAGCAAAAGCATGCAGGCAGGACATGATGAGTTGTTTGAGGACTGTGAACGGTTTCATGGGTGAGAATGTGGGGTGGCATGGCAGGAAGGGGAAGTGTCCTTGGATAGACAGATGGAGACAGAATCATGAGGGGCTGATTATGTCATGATAAGAAACAGCTTGGACATTCTCCTGATGGCGATAAGGAGCATCACAACAGCCTATGACATAGATTCAGTTATCCTTTACAGAGATGGAAGCTAAGGTTCAGAGAAGTTCAATGAATTATTCAAAGCCATATTTTAGGTTTGTTACATAAGGTGAATCAAGATTTTCTTAGTGCAAACTAAACATTTTTTTTCCTTTACTCTATGCAACCTAAATATTCTCCTCAGAAACAAATAATTGAGTCTAATGCAGTGGTTTTAAGTGTCTAGAGACAGTGGGGATTAGATTTTGAGGAGGATACAGGAAATGCTCCCCACGTAGCGGTGATATACTCCTCCAGCTTAGATACACTGGCCAGGGTGTTAGATCACCTGTCATAACAATAAAGTTGAAACCAAAGGACACATCTTTTTCCCGAAGTCACTTATTTCAAGTTTTATTAGTTTATTTGCCCAGAATAAACTAATTCATCTTTGTACATTTTACATTTGGAACCAGTGTAACTGTTTATAGCGGGCTGTATGTTTCTATTAAATAATGAGATTCCTAAAGCCTTTGAACAAGAAAAGAGCCAACTGGAATCAATGTACATTTATTCTCACTCTTACTGTAAAGGTGATAAAATTGAACAAATATAACAAAATATATCTCTGTACTTCCTGCTATTTGCTAAGCTCATGAATCTGGACGCAGTTGCTTGGGGGGTAGAGAAGATAGAGATACCAGAAAGCAAAGAGTCTGGATCTCTCAGTAAAAACCATGGTCCAAGGTCATTAGCTTTGTGAATATAGAAACTGGGTCTTATCCAAGCATTGGATTGGGTTGAAGCAGACTCATTCACCTCAGTCACACACAAAAGATTGATCCATAAGCCAAATATTTTAATATCCTCATTTGCCGTGAGAAGTGTAACTGCCAAATTGAATGGATATTTAAACTTCACAAGGTGATGGGTGTGTTCATTTGATTGTGGTAACCATTTTACAATGTGTGTAATATTAAAACGTCACATTGTACACCTCAAACACATACAATTTTTATTTTTCAATTATATGTCAATAAAGTTGGGGTGAGTGAAGGAAGGAAGGAATGAGTTCTCTGAGGGTGAACTTTCTCCTTATTGAAATGTGCAGGATGCTGAACTAGATCAGAAAAAGTGGTTTGGTGAATATTGAAAGCGGCATAGCAGAACTAAGAACTTAGGCTTTTGACTAAGACAAATTTTACTTCAAATCCTAAATGTGTGACCTTCAGCAAGCTTCTTAACTGCCCCGAGCCTCAGTTTCCACATCTTTAAAATAAAGCTATTCATGGCACTGCTGCACAGGGTTGTCACCTAAGAGAATCCAGAGGCTGGCACATGGCTAGTGCTCAGCCAATGTCGGCTATTATTATTCCTCTGACTTTTTCATTGAGTCAGAGCCAGGGCCATGGGTTGGATTAACTTAATGTCCAGTATTACCCACTTACGAGATTTCTAGGGTATCCTGCCTATGGCTGCTATGGAAAATAAATATATTCAGGTCTCAAGACCTCCTCTTCCATAAAAGTTCTAGAAACAAATTAAATTGTAGTTTTGAGGGCAAACTAAGGATTTGACGCCTTCTAATCAGGTTTGCAATGTATGAATCTAATAAATAAATATAAGGAAGACTTTTTAGAGCAAAAAGGGCCCAGGAACTGGAATAGATAGTCTAAAACTCAGGTTTTTAAATCCCAGGGGCAGGAAGAAGAGGTTCCAAACTAGGTGGAGAAGCCCCTGTAAGTGAGAGCATCAATGTTGTCAGAGAAAAAGCACAAGTAATTACAAACCATGTGGGGGGAAGTTGGAGCAGTATTTTATGCACTTCCTACAGCCTTTTCTTTGGGAAACCTGGGAACATTAAAAGGGGCCTAAATGCAGTAGATATGGTGAAAAATCTTGATCCATAACATTTTTTTGTTCAAACAGGGTCAAAGGCATTTGATTTTTGTCCTCCTACTTGCTTGTCAGAGATTACACTGTGGTTAACTTGGGTCTCCTGAAATCTCCATGTTGGCTTCTGGATGATCGCTTGGATTAATTCAACCAGTCACATCCATCAGACTTTAAAAATAGTCTTTTAATTACAAAGATAATATGTGCTGGCAAAAATCTGAGTAGTGCAAGAAGTTGGCACCCACAACCTTCCAACCCACATTCACTTCCCAGAAGTAACTACTATTGACCTTTAGCACTCGTTCCTTCAGACAGTGTTCTTACTCATATACAAACATTTACATTTTAATTTTACAAAAATGAAATCATAAAACACACGTTCTGAAATTTTACCTTAAAAATTTTTTAATCATATAACATTCTATTTATAATTATAATTATTACATATTATTACATAATATTAATTTAACTTTAATTTTTAATTAAGTAAAACTTTATTTACTTAATTATATTATTATTCAGTGAAAAAAAACAGTGTATACCAATAGAATGTGTGCAACGCAGAGCACACTTTTACATAGTACCTGCCACGTTCCATGGGGGTAGCTGAAATGGTTTGAAGGAGCCTTAGATATCTGATCGAGTATCTTTATATATCAATTTATATCTTTACAAATAGTCTGATCCAAACAGGTTTTTTTAACATGCATAATTATAAATTCATGCTTTACCAAAACAGAATTTTTTTTAAACAGGGGTTCGAAGTAATTTCAACACAGCATTATTTTACTTTTCTGCTATTTCTATTGTAATAAAATTTATTTCATATGGAATTCCAGACATGGACGGAAGAAACCAGACCAGCACCTATGAATTTCTTCTCGTGGGCCTCTCTGAGTGGCCAAAGCAGCAACTTCTCCTGTTTGTGCTCTTTTTAGGCATGTACCTGGTCACCGTGGTGGGAAACCTGTTCATTATCCTGGCCATTGGCTCTGATGTGCACCTACACACTCCCATGTACCTTTTTCTGGCCAACCTGTCCTTCTCTGACATTGGTTTTATCTCTACAGTAATTCCCAAGATGTTAGACAATATTGGCTCAGGAAGTAAACTGATTTCTTATGGTGGGTGCCTGACACAGCTCTATTTCTTTGGCCTATTTGCAGATCTGGACAATTTTCTCTTGGCTGTGATGGCACTTGATCGCTATATGGCCATCAGCTACCCCCTCCAATACACCATGACCATGAACTACCAACGCTGTGTCCTGTTGGTGGCTGGGTCATGGCTGGTCACTACCTTCCATGCCCTAGTGCATACTCTCCTAGTGACCAGGCTTTCCTTCTGTGGCCCCAGTATCATCCCCCACTTCTTCTGTGATCTGGTCCCACTCCTGAAGCTGGCCTGCTCCAGTACTTATGTCAATGACCTGATGCTCATCCTTGTGGCAGGAACATTGTTAATTGGACCCTTTGTCTGCATCCTTATGTCTTACTTTTACATTGCATTGGCTATCCTGAGAATTGATTCCCCAAAAGGTAAGCAAAGGGCCTTCTCTAACTGCACCTCCCACCTCTCTGTGGTCTCTCTGTTTTACAGCACAGCTATTGGGGTCTATTTGTGTCCTCCATCATCCTCCTCGGGTGGAAAGGACAGATTCTTCTCAGTAATGTATACAGTGGTGACCCCCATGCTGAACCCCTTCATCTACAGCTTGAGAAACAGGGACATGAAAGAGGCACTGGGAAAACTACTGAGAAGAAAAACACTCTAACACTCTTTCTCAGGACCTTAGGGTCCTGTCTTCAGGACTCAGAGCTGAGAGTTGAAAATTGGCCCTTTGAGAGCCCAGCTGCTGTAGCTTCCCTGAACCTGAGACTTCTCCTTTTCTCATGTTTATATTCCAAAGAATAGATTGACATCTAGGACAGGGAGGGAACCAGTGATATAAGCATCCTCTTAGCATCTTCATGAAGTGCCCATGCCCTGAGTAGTTTACTACCCACTCTCAGAATGGTTCTCACTTATTCTCACTGGATGCCTAAGAGAAGCTCACAGGTGGGGGTCTTGTATACATATAAAAGGAAAATGAAAGTCTCAATTTTTGTTTAGCTCAAATTATAAGGAACTATGAAAGATATCTCTAGCCCAAGAATATAGGATCCATTATGTCTAGTAGAATGAAATACGGAGGAAATAATCTGATACTCTACACTTCAACAGACAGTGTTCTATAGAAGAGTAAGAGTGGGGCTTCAAGTCCTGGGTTCCAGTGCTGGCTTTGCCACTAATGAACTATGTGACAGCTGTATGATCACTTAATGTCTCCGAGCTTTGGCTTCCCCAGTTATAAAATGAAATGATTGAATTGTGTTAGTCTATGCCCCAACACCCATATACCCAGTTCTAATAATATTTAGTGTTTTAGTGATAAGAACTCAAGACTTAAAATCAGAAATTACAGGTCAGAACCAAGTCTACCACTTTCACATTAGGTGACTTGAGGAACATTCTTTCTCTCTGAGTTCTGTTTTCTTTATTTCTAAAATAGGAAGAACAGTATCATCATAGGATTACTCTGAATAATATGTGAACATATGTGGTTCACAGTAAGTGCTCCATAAACATCTAATGAATCTAAGTCTTCTCATTCCATTATTATCCTAATCAATCTCAGGGCTTCCTTTCTCTCTCTTTATTAGGACAACCCTAATCACTCACACTTGTGGAAGCACTATTTACAGTCTTCTTATCTTTTATCAAGAATCTTCATGGTGGTTACTTTCTCTGGTATATATTTTGGAGATCTCTGAATGTGGAGGTGGAAAATTCTTTAAGGAGAATTCTTTCAGTAATTATTTAATTGCTCCGTAATTTGCATCACATGGGTCTCCAAATGCTCATTTAACATAGGTAGGAGAACATGCTAGTGTTGGGAGGAATGTTTCTCTACCAGGCTTGATCTTTTCTTTGAACTGAAAGAAACCCAATTAGTGTGACAACCGTCCTAGTTTTCTCCCTTACTCTGCCCCGAACACCTAACTGATTCATTTGGGCATGCTCCACCTAGACTCTCCCCGTGTCTTCTTGAGAACTGGCTCGCTTACAGGGAGACCTGCTGTGCACAACCAAGAGCAAAGCAGCCTCTCACACACACTTGGCAGGCCCTCCCTAATCCAGCACTACCTACTTCTGGAGCTGGTTAGGAAATCATTGAGATTCTCACTCCAAGTTGTGTCTCCAACTTAGACATTATCAGGAGGAAAGTGGAAGTTTGGCACCCATCTGTCTTTGTCCTTATCTTATTCATCAATTGATTAAGAACTCAACTGGGAAAGTGGGATTGTTCATTGGGCTCCCTGAAACACTCCCAACAATCTGAAAATCACGGCTCCAGCACTTAGGAGCTGAGTGACTCCAGAGTAAGTTATTTAACCTCTCTGAGTCTCCTTGTTTGTAATAAGAAAGTAATAATATAAGTTTTTATAATTTCAAAAAAAGTTAAATAACTGGGAAAATGTAACTAGCATGCTTGTCGTGACACCTGAGTCATGGGAGGGACTCAAAAAAATGATTCTGCTTTGTTGTTGTGCTGCTGCTGTTGTTCACATCCTTTTTCTTGTCGTTATTGTGGGTCTTGTTAGCTTGACCCCTCCCCCTTGCTGATTAATCAGTCGATTAAATCATATGCTTTCTAATGGTTGTCGCTCTTTGCATTCACTAAAAATTAGACATCTGGAATTTGGCAAGCATATTCTTAAGCTATTTTATGGCCAAATAGCATCCACCATGAAATGAGAGGTTCCAAAGGTCCTGGCCCAGTTCCCACTAAGAGAGATAGACCTTCAAAAGGTGTTTTTAAGCCATAATATTGAAATATGTCTTGGTTTGGGTTCACTCAGAGACAGGCCCTGTGACATGGGTTTGAATGCAAGCAGTTACTTTGGGAGATGACCCCAGGAACACCAGGAGGGAATTAGGAACCCAGACAGGAAAGGGAAGGTAGGCAATAAAGGGACACTATCAAGTGAGTTATCGCTATGAATAATCGGAGCTTAATATGGCTGAGGAACTCTGGGACCAGTGCAAAACACGCACTTCTAAGTTTTTCCACCCAACTCCCATCAGCTAGGTTGAAGGCTGCTCCCAGGAAGCATTGATTACTTAGGCCTTCTTCCCTGCTGTTCATGTATATCTGGAGCTCAAGGGACCCACAGGGACACCTCCAGCTGCCAGAGATAACTCTCAGACAGAGATGGAGATGCTGGCATCTGAAAGAGTATGGAAGAAATTCACATACATCCTGGCAGTGTTACTACAATGATGAGATTTGAGGGTCTAGGAACGGGGCAACAACAGCGTCTACTACAATTTACCCCTTACACCACTCAGACCCTCTCATGCCCTACATTAAGTTCACTACACTCTGTCATTGCTTCTTTAAAATAGTTGCTGGTCACAATTTCTCTTTCAAAAAAGACAATAGGAGGGTTAGTAAGACAAGTGGTAGTCTCCACCACTACAGTTTGCCCCAAGGTCGTAATTGATATGTCTCCCACCTCTATCAGTGATATATCTATCTCCCCTATTCTTGTTTAGTAGCTCTGCTGGTCTAGGTTGATAGGCATACTTCAATCAGACATCATGTTCTCAGACTCTGGTTGACATGCCCTTGTTAGCTGTGTTTGGCACAGTTTTTTGTTGTTGCAGAACACTATTGTAATTCCAAAGATCTTTGTGATATTTTTTGACAGAGGAAACCACAGATTGAAGTAGATCTGAATTCCAGTAATGCTGGGGATCCCCCAATAAAAGAGTTGTTTCTCTTACCTCCAGGGTAGTAAATCACATCTTCCCTAAGCATTTCAAGCAGAGATTGTGTGGACATGACATCCCTGAAAGCCTCAGCTGAGTACCGTAACTCAAAAGCACATATGCCTTATTACTGATTATGTCACATCGTTTATAAGAATTTACCTAACAATGAATCACTCTTAACAGATGCTCTGCATTCTTCTTTATATATATATATATATATATATATATATATATATTTTTATCACTGAGCAACTCTGTACCTGTCCTGTGTCACAGCGTTGGATCCTCAGATGAACAACTGGAATCAGGATTCTCTGCTCATGATAGGTCTAATTCACTACAGCCATTCACAGTTATCACCACCAGGCATGGAAGTACCAGGTGGTGTCCTAGTGAATCCTATGTGTTCCAGACCTACACCTCCCTGCCCCCATTAAGTAGCAACAACCTTACTTCTGCATAATAATTTGGATCAAGTTCTGCTATGGTCTGAATGTTTGTGTTCCCCCCAAATTCCTTCTGCCTGAAATGCTTTCTCCTCCTTGTCTTCTCCCTAACTGCCACTAGTTCTTTAGATCTCAGATGAAACATCGCTTCCTCAGGAAGGTTAGTTTAGATATTTGTAATTTACATTTTCTAAACTCCCTGCATTTCCCTTTCACTGCACTTATCTCAATGATATTTCAATAAAAAATTGCCTAAGAAACTCTTTACTTTATTCTTCCATTCATTCTACAACTGTTTAGTAAGTTCCTATTATGTAACTGACATTCTGCTAGATCCTGGAGGTATCATAAAGAACAAAACATACCTTGCCTCTGAATTCATGGGCTTGTACTCTAGTGTATGACATCTTTCATATTTTGTTATAAGGTCTATGAAAGCAGGAATTCTGTCTTATTCACTACAGCATCTCCTGAATCCATGGGATTTAGCTAAATAAATGAATGAATGAAGAAATAAATATGAATAAATTAATGAGTTCTATTTGGAATGCTGATTTTTTTGAAATTTTTAAAAAATTATTTTAATTTCTGATTTTTATTTTCACACTCCGATGACTTACAAGAAAGCAAACACCTAAGTATCTACCACTCATTCAAGAAGTAGATCATTGCTGGCGTTCCAGAAACTGCCTTTGTGCCTCTATCAAGTTGCTACTCCTCTCTCTCCCATAAAAGTAATGACTATTCTGACTTTTTCTATTAATTACTTTCTTTTCTACCATATATACATGTGTGCCTAAACACTATAGTTTGGATTTACCTGTTTTTTAAATTTCTATGTTTTCCAGCTTTGTTGAGATGTAATTGACATATAATGTTGTGTAAGTTTAAGTTGTAGGACTAGATGACTTGATATATGTATACATTGTGAAATAATTACCATGTGAGGTTACTTAACATATTCATCACCTCGCATAGTTACTTTGTGTGGGTGAGGTGAGAACGTTTAAGATCCACACCCTTAGCAACTTTAAAATACACAATACAGGATTGTTAACTACAGTCACCATGCTGTACATTATATCTCCAGAAATTACTCATCTTATAACTGGAAATATATCTCTTTCGACCAGCCTCTCCCCATTTCACTCACCCCTCAGCCCCTGGAAACCACCAATCTACTCTTTGTTTCTATGAATTTGACTTTTTTAGATTCCATTCTAAGTGAGATCATACAGAATTTGTCTTCTTTGTCTGACATTTCACTTAGCATAATACCCTCAAGGTTCATCCATGTTGTCACAAATAGCACACTTTCTTTCTTTTTCACGGCTGAGTAATATTCCATTGTGTATGTATACCACACTATTTTTACCCATTCATCTGTCAACAAACACGTAGGTTGTTTCCATATGTTGGCTACCATGAATAATGCTGCAACAAACATGAGGGCAACTCGTATGGTTACTGTGAGGATTAAATGACATAAAAGCATTCAAGCGCTTTAAAC